ATGTCAGAGTTGTTGTGAAATGTGAGGAAAACAGATAATACATTTGCAGCAATTTAAACCCTGCAGAAAAAAAAGCCTGTTAAGACACAAACAATGAGTTCATGCCATGGAGGCTAAAGGTCGGCTCCTCCTGCTGAGAGTCTGACCCCTAACTACTTTTAAACACCAAAAATTCAGCTTTGTACTCTATGGGAAAAGGTTGCAGGCATTAATTAACAGGAAAACCGTGCTAAGCTGCTTGGGTTTGTGTGCAGCAGGGTGATGTCGGGCCGAGGTCATTAAGGGACGCCACACAAGGCTGCGGTCAAAAACTGACTGGTGAAAGGTTGAGGAAGTAAATAGGACGTGCCGACCCTGAGCGAAGACCTGCTGAATTAGCTCTCGGACCAAGACAATTACCGAGAGGTGCAGTGCAGAAATCAATTGGTGTGGATGAATTCCGATGACCTGGTCACAGAGCAGGAAAGTCCCTCTGGAACTCTTCTAGTGACGCTGTTACACAAGTGTTAATGCAGGAAATCAGCCCCTTTTGCAAGCAAATTATGAGACACATTTTTTGCATTCTAAGCATTCCTCCATTGCCTACTGAAGTGTAATTTCCAGATATAATTTGCTGTTGCGTCTGTGCACGAGTCTTCCAAACGGTGAAAGGCAACTTGTGTTGTGAAACAGAGAGACTGCAACACCGAATGGTTAGCATGGAGGTTACGTCGGATAAACGCTGGCTACGGGCTTAACATGGAAACTGAATATATACGTGTGTGAATGACTCATGTGCCTGACGAACGTGGTTGATGAGAAAGCGCAGAGGAAGGCGCTGTGGTGTGACTTCATGTGACGTGAGCTCTTCGTGTGGTGGAACTGAATGATAAGAGAGTGAGAAAAAAAGGCAGGTCACAGGAGTATCAGGTGAAAACAGCGGGTAATGCGAGTCGGGAAGCAGGTGTTTCCCCCGCTGTTGGTTTGAGGCCAAATATTGAGTTCTGAAAGTTGAAGCACCAGTTCAAACCCCGTGCGGGAAAGACAAAGCTGTCAAAGCAGAGGGACGAGTTGAAAGCTCAGGGTGTGCAGTTAAATATTCATTTTAAGCTTCAAAGCTTACTTTGAAATTGCTGGCCTTTTTATTTCTCTGGAACCTGCCAACACTCAACAGCTCGCCGTGAAGAGCTCGCAGTTTATCACCTAATCAACAAATCACTGTAGTCTAGCACCTTATTGTTTGCTGCTGTGAAGGCGTAAAGTGCTTTCTGCAGAGGTGGAGCACCTCAGTGAAAGTGATGTGGTCTCTCGACTGTATCTGTCCTGAAATTTGAGCCGTCGAGGCTCCTCATGTGGCTGAAACACAATTCAAACAACAAAAATAAATTCCAGTTTCTTAGCGACAGCAAATCCAGAATACTGATGTGAACATTCGCTCGGATCCATCAAAACAACCAGTTAACACTTTCTAAAGTGGACTTGGGTTTTCTGGACTTCTGCTTTGATTATGACAACAACTTCTGCATTTCATTTCCCTCTGAAATGATAGAATCTGATTGTGACGTTAAGACACATGACAGGTAGATTTTGACTTAGGATTAAGAAATGCAGCTTCACAAAGCAAGACATATGAGAGCTGTCACACCAAAAAATACGAATCGCATTGCACCATCAAAGAAGATGAAATGTGACTCATTTGGACTGGAAACAAAGCAGCATATTTTCAAGGAAGCGATATTTATTTTGGGGGAAATTCTTTTGAGAACACATTCATGTTTTATTCATAGGCTCGCTCTGAATTTCAGAGCCACAGAAGGTGAAGGGACAGCTCGTTAAAACAGAACCACACCAGCGTTGTATTAAACTGTTTCAATTATTCGCACTGTTGTTGAACATTTGTTTCACAGCGGTGCTACTGCCGAAGCAGCAGGAATGTTTGTATAGTATATGGGTGTATGTGCCCTGTACAGAACCTATACTGTCGGTAGCAGATGAAATATAGGTCTAATACCCCGAAGCATGTTGTAACCACGGCGCCATTCATCACACCTGGCATCGCGTTACAAACCCTGACCTGACAGGGTCATACGTAACATCACAAGACATGGATTTGATCAGGATTTTATCTTTTTGTTGTTGTTGTTGTTTGCAGTCAGCCAGCAAACACTGCTGTGTGTGATTGCACAAGATGAAGCAATATTGGGTGACATGATGCAAACTTATTGTTTGGAAGCATTTGTTCACGGAGAATTCAATTGGTTATATTTGTCATCTGGGGTGGAACTAGTATCCGGATACTTCATTTAAGTATGAATAGTGAGGCAGTGAGAAAGTACTCCATTACAAGTAAAAGTCCTGCATCAAAAATCCGACTTAAGTAAAAATAAATATCTATTAGAAGCAAATTGTAGATTAAGTATTAAAGTAAAAGCTCCGGACCCTCTAACTGATATATTATTATATGTGGCATCATTAGATTATTATTAGTGAAGCATCAGTGTGTCAGCAGCTTGTTATTGTTGTAGCTGCTGCAGGTGGAGCCGGTTTGATTACTTTATTTACAATTTTACAGCAGATAAATGTGTCACATGATTAATGGGAGAGAATGAAAGAAAAAAAATTCTAATACATAAATCTGTTTTTCCCAAATCTAGGATTTTTGGTGAAATATTGGCTCTTTTAACCCTATTCAGGACGTTCATGTTGTCATACGTAGAGGGTCTTTCAGGGTCCACTGAACCCCAAGAAAGAATATGTGCAAAATATTTGTTGGTATTCATTATAGACTTTTAAAACACATTTTCTGATAAGTTGACATATTTTGGTTCCAAATGCATGACGAATGTCCCTCTTTTTATATGCTAAAAATAATCTTCAAAAATAAAAAAAACAATACCTGTCACCTAAACCAAATGGCCTGGGGTCCAAAAGACCCCAAAAGTCCTGAATAGGGTTAATCAGTTGTTTAAATGTGAGAAGTTTAGAGAGAAAATTTGATTGCGCCGTTAACAACTCAGACGTCTGAAAATGTGATCCTGACACCAGAAGCCTGAGGCTAAAAGGGTTGACAACAACTGGTTTAAACTTTAACAATGTGTTTTATTTGAAAAGCTTGTTTTATTAACCATTGTGTAGAAGTCTTATAAGCAAGCCAGAGAAATGTAGTAAAATTGAAAATATTATTTTTTTCTTCTGAAATGTAGAGGAGTTGAAGTGGAAAGAAGCATAAAATGAAAATACACAAGCAAAGCCAAGCACCTCAAAATTGTACATAAGTACAGTGCTTGAGTAAATGTACTTTCCCCACTTTGCCATTATATATATATTTTTTCAGCTCTGGCCTGATTGATCTCCAACGGAGCAATGCTTGTGAAAAGGTAGCAAAGGTTTGGATGATATAGCGATTATGGGCGACTCATATTTATGCAACCACGGCGGCAAAACAAAGCAATTATTTACTTTTCCCCCCGAAAAAGAGCAGCTCAGCCAAAGATGGGAAATGGGCTGTTACTCAGGCTACTTCAGCCCGGCCTTGTGCACATCCTTGGGCCCTTCAGATGCCACAGTAAGTAGTACAGATTGCCATTATTACACAGGTCAGTAGAGCAGGAACAGCAGCCAAGGCCAGCGGTGGGTTTTTTATCAGGGTGTAGCTAACTTGCCGGAGACGCCTCCGTCTCGGGTAATGCTTGTTGGGATTAGAAAGTTATTGTTTCCCATTTCCAAACAGTGCGCTAATAGAAGGAAATATTTATCTAGAGTCTGCTTGGCCGGCTTTAAGACTTACAACAACATTAAGGGGATATTTAGATTTACCAGTCATGCTGTATATTTGAGTTTTTTACATTTCCTTGTGTTTAACTTTAAACTATTAAGAGAGTCCTGCTTTGTTTTTCTTTTTACACAGCCACAAAAATGGAAAAACTTGTAAAAAAAAAAAAAAGAACAGTTTTAACTCCTCAGTCATTCCTGTGTCAGAAACATAAAAGCCAAACTGTGAATCCAGCATACAGTTGTCCTCAAACGTATTCATACCCTCCCATTAAAGAAGGAAGAAAACAGATGTCACTGAAATAACTTGCAATTTACAAAAGTAATAAATAAAAATTTGATGAAAATCATGACATTGCTTTTGAATTGTGGTTCAACAGAAATATTGAAAAAAAAGAAAAGCAAACAAGCATGATGGGACCTGTAAACTAATATTTTGTTGAACAACCCTTTGAGCCAATCACTGCAATCAAGTGTTTTCTGTAACTCTCAGTCAGACTTCTGCACCTGTTGACAGGTATTTTGGCCCACTGCTCATCAGCAAAGTGCTCTAACTTGTCTGGGACAGTTGTTTTTTTTTAATTATTCTTTTCAACCACAATTCAAAAGCAATGTCTTATTTCACAAAATTATAATTTAGCAAATTTTTATTTATTATTACTTTTTTCAGTTTCTAGTTATTCGAGTGACTATTGTGAATTTTTCCTTTTCTTTAATGGAAGGGTATGAATACATTTGAGGACAACTGTACATGTACTTCAGCAGCAGCGCTTCAGGCTTCCCGCTCTGCAGACAATCTGCAGCACAGACGGACTTTTCCTCTTTGCCGGGGAAGTTTTGAATCTCAGTTAAAATTAATGAGAGAAACTTTAAAAGTGAGCAAATGGTTTATTAACAGGGTATTTTACAACTCGTCCTGCCATCACATCCACTCCAGCACGTCCTAATTGTTTAATGAGGATGTCTTTACACGAGACTACGCTGCCGCCGAGCGCTGTTGAATTATTACAGCATTAGAGAGATACACTCGGTGAGAGCAAATTAATTAAGCAATAAGGAAGTCTCTGGCTAAAAGAGAGGAGGCGAGGAAGGAGCGTCTTTGTCACGTTTACTTCTGGTGCAATGGTGCCCTCTACTGGTGAGTGTGTCGCGTTTACACACAGCGCTGCCAGGTCCTGCAGATCTCCATTTATTTATGACTCATATGACAACTAATCATCTCCTAATGACTACAAATAGAAAACGCATGATTAGTTCATGTTTTGTTTTTTTATTTGGAATGCTTTACCTCAATAACATGACAACGAGCCAAAACAGTGCAAATACTGTATCACAGCAAACACAGACTCCCACAACGTGACCCCCTCCTCCTCAGTCTTCACACGTCCTATGTACACCCGGGGTCACTTCTAGACACTCACACGTCCAACTTCCACTGTCCAGTACCAGACATACTGTACACAACCGTCCTCATCAACACGTAAGGCACACACACATACACTATTTATATTTAACACATCACGCAAATGTGCAGAGCTTAAGACAGCAGTAATGTTGGATAACTCGATGCTCGACAAGAGACTCTCTGCCACGGTTTGAACAGAACTGAGCCATGTACAAACAGCCACAGTTATAAGCTCACAGACGAATGTTTTTTAGCTTTTTTGTTTTTTTTTTTCTCTTTACATGACCTGTGATTGCTTTCTAGCATTTTAGCGTGATAATATTCAGTATAGCTGTGTTCAGTATAGCTTAACCATGTGGCTACGCTTTATTCCTAGAAAATACTCAGTAACCATACCATGTAGAGAAGTGAGGAGTTCAGGGTGGCAGGGCTGGGTGAGAGTCGACTACGAATACGACAGGGTCAGAAATTAAAGAGGAGGTGAGGAGTCAAATGAAGAAGTGCTTCTAAGAGAAAATACAGTATATCCATGGATTAAGGAGGTAGAGGGAGAGAGAGCCTGTACCAGTCAACGTTTGAGAGTCCGACCGTGAACGTTTGGATACTGAAAGAAAACTGTGGCACATCGATCTGTAGTTGTAACTCTGTGTAAGTTACGATTGTGAGGAGAAAGCAGGACTGCAGCTATTTTTGTTTGTTCAAATTTACTTTGCTGTTAAAAAAAAAAGAAGAAGAAGAAGAAGCGCACCGTTGCTTCGGAACAAGTATTTCTATTCAAACCCATCCTTCAACCCAGATAACTAGCTCAGAATGACATGTAGTTTTTTTCTTTTTACTTTTAAAATAAGTGTCACTGGATTGTTTTGGACCCAAATTGTATAACTCTACAAATTCAATGTAAACACATTTGCTGGATGGGATAGAAGCTTTGCACCAAGGCAGCGCATCTGGAAGACCTACAGCTTATTGGACGATTAGATTCAGCAGCGATAACGTCACTAACGAATATGCACGGATACATGATATTGATTGACTGTGTGTATTTAAATACGGAAGCCTTTGCACTACGAAGCTGTGGCTCGCCTTATAAGATGCATGCAGCGAACAGCGACATCAGGGTTGAGCTGACACAGGATTTACACTGTGATTTACCTTCTGTGTGTGTGTGTGTGTGTGGTGTGTGAACAGGTCAAATATGCAAGGCTGTATTGATTATTGATTAAAGGATAGTTACACACAAGTTCAAAGTGAACATTTAATAGGATAGGTGCTCCTTTTCTTTTGGCCAATTATATGAAATAGTCCACAAAGGCAAAATTAGTGAACTATTATTCAAAGTTTGTGTCTATTATTTAATATGCTGTTTGCAGGATCATTTCTAACACTGCTATATGTTGCGTACATTTCAGCAGTCTGCCCTCTGCAGCAGTCCACCCTAACGTTTTTGATTTGTGGCTCACTGAAAAGACATCACAGTAAACGTGACTCATATTTTTCTTCCTTGTACAATTAGTGATTCGTCGAAGAGGTGACAACATTCTCTAATGTTGGATTCTGTTCTACCAAGTACAGCCAACTGTTTAGTGGAGATCAAAACATGGAGGAAGATATTCAACGGCGTTAGAGGGAAACACTCATTTTATCCACAGGCCAAGATTAATCTGTGTGTGTGTGTGCCACTGCAGTCCCACATGGTTCCGTTACACCTGTCTATGATTCAGAGGAGTCTGACCTTGGTGAATCCTTCTTGCAATAGAGCTTACTACGGCAATCACAGTGTCTATGTTTGTAGTGAGGTCTCTCTCCCTCTGCAGCACCTCTCCACACCCAACCCTCCACTCATGAATGTGATCCCACACCCCAAGTGGGCTCCCTCACATCAGGGTACCTCGTCCCCCTAAAGAGTGAGCCCTTCCTCCTCCGGGTAACCAGGGGCATGTCTCCCCCACGGCAGCGGGTGAGACATGCCTCTGGATGAATGCGCCTCTTGGCCACGGCCCTCAAACCAACGACGCCCGTCTCTCCTCCGGCGTCTCCTCCAGTATCTGAAGCAGCAGGTCGCTGAGGGGCTTGGCCATGGTGCGGTAGCCTGTCGACGTCAGGTGGAGGAAGTCAAACATGTCCTGCGCGCTAATGGTTCCGTCGGAGTGGACGAACTCCCCGCTCACATCCAGCAACTGAGCCTGGCCCAACCGTGGCAGCCAGGAGCGCAGTAAGCCGTTAACAGCAGCGTTTTTCTCCCTCAGCGGGTTGGGTCGCTCCCCTCGAGGCAACAAACCCTGAGAACGGCAAAACATTTCCCACTCATTTATGGAGATTAATATGATTGAGGGACAAGATGTTACACATCAAAACATGCTTGTCACATAAAGGTTGTCCTAAAACCTATTACAATCTTTAAAAATTCTTACTGGAATCCAGACACACCTGCACCGAGTCATTTCACCATGTCGGAGGTATTAAGAGACGGCCGTAAAGCCACTTATTCAGACACGCACAAGAAGTTGCACTACAATCTACTTTCTTAATTGTTAAGACAAACCAGCAGCTTGTTCATTTGATAGATGTGAGTAAAACATTTTACAGGACTTCAAGCAAAAAACTCAACAAAATCTGTGCCTGAATTGTGTTTCACAAGGTCAAGGGTTCACGAAATGAAGAAATAACTGAAAGTAAACATGCTTATTATCACAACTGATACAAACAAACAAACAAACGTAAAAACGCACACAACGAGAAGACATTAGAGATGCTTTCTTGGTTTTAAATACTCGAGTGAGCTGCAGGCTGCAGAGCAGATGGATAACAGCTGTAGCACAGATCACAACCAGTTTCAGAAAGAGAAAAACTCAAATCTAATAGTTTCTAAATGAGGCAAAATGGTGGAAAAATGCATCACTACGACCACTCATCCTTTGCTCAGCCGGGGTCTGTTTACTGTATCCAATCCAAGCACAACTTCCAAACCATAACATCCAATACACTTATCTTTAGATATTTTTTATCGCTTGTTCCTCTGTCGGTCTCTAAGCAGCATCGGCAGCATAACAGGCCCACTGTTTGATTGCGACGACGATATGAAAACAAAATGAATAGCCTATTCACTGTGGTGCTTCTTTAAAGTCACGCGGTCGTGAATTATTGAGCTGACACTTATTGCTGAGCCAGTGTAAACAAAGATGTTTACTGATAAAGCAGGTCTACTTTATTACTACAAAAGACAGAGTTCCTCAGAGCACAAGATACATGGATGGATATTTTTAATAGATACAGAATTATCTATTTCTTTCATCTAAAATCGCTCTGCCCCTGTAATTCAATCCCACTGCCTGAGAACTGTGAGCAATGTTTTCAATTCAACACACTTACAGCAAAAATAATTCAGTTTCCATTACCACATACTGATGTCATTATCTGTTATATGTTTAATGTTTACATCACTGCAGATTTTATTGTAGCATAAATTCATAAATCTTCACCTTTAGGCACCTGAAATCACGCTCATGTTCTATAATATTGATATAAATGTTGACGAATGACCAACATAAGCCGGGTCAGACAGCTGGTTGTTTCCGTGTTTGCTCTGCAATATTATCACATCAAGGGGCCTCTTACTTTAACAACCTTTCTTAAGTTACTTCTGTGTTTAACCAGCTCTTGAATGGAGGAATGCATAAGAAATTACGGTAATATGACAAAAACTACAACAAAAGACAAGAGATGTGACCAAACTTACCAGTACGACTATCTTTGCCTTTGGGAGGCGAGAGGTGAGAAGTTGTGCAATGGCAAGAATCCCTCCTGCAACCTGCTCTGCTGTGTTTTCATAATTGTTGGTTCCTACCCACAACACCACCACCTGGACAAGAGTACAGACACTTTGTTCACTTTCACTGAACACAGACTAATCAGCAGAACTGAGATCAAAGCACATCATATGCAGTTATAACTAGGCAATACATTGTTAGCGGTTTTGGGCAGACAAGCTTAATGGATTGCTGTCAAGGTTAGCGAGTGAGAAACACAAGCTGTCCAAAGCGTCTACATCATCTGCACTGTACTGTGATACAACAGCTACAGTTTAAAAAAACATTTCACAATAATATGGCTAATGGGGTCACAACAGGCCATCTGCTGCTGCCAAACTCCTGATAAGGTGGTCAGGGACAGCTACATGTGTTTCTTGCAAGGAAGACAAACAGTGTATATGATATGTCTCTCTGGGCCCAACGGTGCAACTGTGTGTGCAGATGGTGTTTTGTATAAAATATGTATGCAAGAGGTTGGTGTGTAGAAATGATTGCGTCCTAAACTGTCTGAGCAGGCTCGTCTCACCTTGGGACGGATGTTTTCCAGTTCTCCATTCTGCAGCCTCCACAGCACATTGCAGGTGGTGTCGCCCCCGATGCCAAAGTTGAGCGCATGAAGAGGAGAGAACAACTCCCTCCAGACCTGTGGACAAAAGCATGAATCTGCATTTTACACAAGCTTTCTCCAATGCATAGAAAAAGCATAAATACATTTTTTGGTTTTGATAGTCTACATTTCTGATGGTAGAGAGTCCTAGAGCTATCAAACTAGTCACTGATGCTGGTAATGAACAGGGGACTTTACACCTATATGTGTAACACTAGCAGTGACTTAGGTCTATACAAGAGATATGAACCTTAATCACAATTTAGGCTCTCCGCTATTAAATGACCACAATCAACAGTGTTTGATGTTTAAAATGCTCTTCACATAGAAAAGTCTGCTGAATATCTAATAGCAGTCAGCCACCAAGGAGTGATGAAGATGTTTTGGCTTCACTTTCTGTGCAAAAGGTTCTCTAATGTTGTTCCTGCAGTCTGATTAGAAGCATTATACTGCACAGAAAAAAAGGCAAAAAGAAGAATAAAATTACTAAAGTTACCTCACTGAAACACTGCCTTTGTCAAGCGCCACCTTGAATATCCACAACAGCAACGCTACACAACACATCACCTCATTGCATAGCTTGAATGTGGAAGCAGTGCTCTTGTGACTTAATTTTGTTGATAAAGTTTTGATCAATTTCCTAAGTTTTATTAAGAGGTGCAATTTCATATTTTGCTTGAAGGAGATGCACTGCGAATAAGGACCAGTCCTATTTTGATGCAATGTCTGTATGTTAGCAGGAATGTAGCACAACATAGGAGGGAGTGTAGTGCTCTGTTCAAATGTGAAAGGTCAACAAAAACCAATAACAATCATGATAAATAATCATGATGTCAATATTGATAATTATGCAGCTCTGTACTAAGGCAAGATAAACACATGCACAACCCAGTTCATTTGCACAGTGCATTCAGAGTGACATTAAACTTCGATACACCAATAAAAAATACCTCTGTGAACACACAATTCTTTCTTCATTCTATTACAACATACAATCTTGTTGGTCAGCAGGTTCGAGATGAGACGAGGCTATTCTTTAATATTTTACCAAGCCTAGGGCTAGTTTTCATGAGCTTTTTTTTTTTTTTTGTCACACTGATGACTTCATTGTGGGTTTAAATATACATGCATTGCTTGTGGCAAATGCATATAAAATTATACATTAGCATATACATATTTTCTTAAAATTCAAAGTCAGTGAAATGCAAAATTTCTGGTGCAGTGTCCTCATTCAAACTTTTTCTGCATTCTCAGAGACGACAACATGAGTGTCTGAAGAACACATGATTCAGACTGCATGTAGTGTCTGGGATGATGTCTTAGTGACCCATGATGGAGAGTTCTGTGAATGCACAATGTTTATATTAAACAAAGGAGTATAAAGATTTTACTCTAAGTAAAAAGCTTCTGGTGCACTATTTTAGAGGAAAGATGTTGCTGCAATGTGAGCAGCCAAACGTCAAAGCAGAGAAAGGTAAGGATCTCATCTTACCTCATACTGCTGCATTAGTTGAACCATAGAGTCTCCCACAAAAAGCACATCTGGTTCACCATCCTTGCACTCCTGTACAAATCTTGTGTGCTGTAAATTACAAAAAACAAAACAAAACACACACACAAGTAGGTGATGAAGTGGACAGTTGTGGCATTTTAACTGTGGCCTTTACAATTTATTCAAACAGTAGAACTGAATCAGTTCCATACTGGGCTTTTCCATCTGAGGTAACACCTTAGATGAGTTTTGTAAATCTAAAGCAGTGGGATAATTCTCATGAGCCATCCGAGTCAGACAAAATCCCGAAAGCTCATCACAGTCAAGACATGTCTGGTGCCCCATCTGATACAGAGCCTGGAGTAAAGCAGACCGTCTCAGTCCTAATAGCTTTGGAGGATTAACCTTGTACAGACCTACCAGGAGGCACAACTACACAAACTAGATAAAGTCCTGCACTGAAAAAATACAGACCTTCTTGCAAATAGCTACAATTTATGAGTGCATGGTTTCTCTAAAACAGATCAAAATCCATACCTAATATAATAATTACTGAGAATATCAAATGAAGGCACAAAAATCTCTAGGAAATAACAGGCTTCAGAGGATGACCAGAAAGAAAAAGAGTCATATAAATAGGTGAGGATGAACATATAACGTAATCTAAGCATAAAGTCACAGAAGCAGTCATTTTTATGTTAATAACTTGAGCATAGATACGTGCAATTACATGACACGAAGCTTCAATGCTGATGATGTACCAAATTTAAGTGACAAGACTCAAGTCACAGTCGAACACCATCCTCCTGTTTACCTAAAAAGCACTAAGAGCTTAATAAACAAACACTTGATGGTAAAAGGATGCAGATTTATGAATCAGCTCTGCCCAGGTACAGGCTCACTGCAGGGCTGCAACTAAGGACTATTTCCACTGTCAACTAATCTGCAGGTTGGCTTCTCTATTAATCAACCAATCTGTTGTTTGGATTATAAAAATGCCAGAAAATGATGAAGAATGTTAATCAGTGCTTCCAAAAATCCAAGATGACATCCTCAAATGTACTAATCTGACCTCAACCCAAAGTTATTCAGTTCACTGTCATCAAGGAGGGGAAAAGCAGAAAATATTCAATTTATGAAGCTGGAATCATAGGATTTAGATTTACTTGAAAAATAACATCAAAATGATTAATTGATTATCAGTGTTGATGTCGATGAATCACTGCAGCTGTAGCCCACAGTGCCATCCCAAGACCAATAATATAGTCCATCTGGGGTGAAGCACAGAGAGGGATATTTAAAAATCATGCATTACCCTGCTGTCAAGTTAAGTTTCGTTTTACAGAAAAAACACTTAATGCCATACAAATGCACTGACATGCCCAAGAATAGGACAAACCTTTTGAGAATCAAGATAGATCTTTCAGCTTGCACTCAAAAGGCGCATATTTTGTATTATTGAGATTAGAATAGAGGATAAAGGGTGAATGTTTACAACGTATAGTATACCTGTGACATCCACCGTCCATCTCCTTGAACATCCTCTACCGGCCGAGCCACTGCAGCTGGGTTCAGTTCATCTCCACTCATCCTGAAGGAGACACGGCCGCTTATTCACACAGAAACTACACAATCAGCGTTACAAGACATTATGGCTAAATGCGAAAAGAGGAAGAGTTGGTCGATGAAGAAAGCATCAGCACCAGCTAGCAGAGAGCATTGCTGTGATGCAGCGGCTTAAGGAGCAGACAGACTGGCCTAATACGGATGTAGGCCACTTTCGCTTTCAAGGCGGGTGTTTATAGATCACAGAGCAGATCGCATTAACTCCGCTAGGCTACTGTTTATCTGATGTTAGCTGCTAGCTAGCCAGCTAATGACTGAAGGCGGCATCTCTGATACTTTGATACACGTTTGACACGCCAGACGTCAATATCAGCGAAAAAAACGAAAAATTGCTTCACAGGCTACATTGGGAACTACCTGGCAGGGTGTCACTTCTTCTCGGCTCCCTCGGCTAACCGTTAACTCTTTTGCCCCGACTTCACTTCACCGCTGTTGGGGAGTCAGCGCGGGTGATGCTCGCTAGCAACCGTTAGCTGCCTGTAGCTCGGCGAGACAACAAAAGGTGTGTCAAGAAGGCAAACAGAGACAGTCTGAGGAGAAGAGCGCCGGGATGCTACCATTAGCCGCAACACCGTTGGAGTAAAGCTTGTCAGGCAGCCATTCCAACAAGCTTAAACTCTCGTAACGGCTGTAATTAAGCTTATCCTTGCGAAATGTTTGTCTCATAAACCTAAACGCTGCTACTTTTAATATTTTTTGAAGGTTGCTGTATCCGACACACAGCTTTTAAATGCGTTTTCCTGAGAGATAACCACAGGGCAGTCTATGGGAACAAACCATAAAACAGCTGGTCCCGCAATGAATCATGGGTAGCAAAACTTCACAATTTCACTCCAAAATCCTAAACAGCGAAACTATTCTTTATTATTTTAAATAATTTAATTGCATGTGAGATACCAGCTATACATCTGTTTTTAAGTATGGGAGTATATTGTAGTTTATTAAGTATTTTCGACATTATTGCTGTGTGACCTGATCTTTAACTTCCAGTCGTGACCAATCGCTGATCCCAGCCCGCTATGTCAGCTGATCGCAATGCATCATGGTCACGTTGGATGAAATGCTGCATTCCAGTACTGCAGGAAACAGAGGAGATGTGAGCTTCATATTTTTGTAGCTGGTCATATTTGGAAGAAAAATAAAGTATGCCTTGGGTGGAGAAAAGAGGCACGTTTCAATGTTATCTTGTGATTATATTGAACCTTTTTGTTAGGGTTAGAAGAAAACTGTTCACGTTAATTGAAAATGTTTAGTTTAAATGAAACAGATTAAATTAAGCATTATTGTGTAATTTAAACATTCTTTTCAGTTTAAGTTAATGACAAGATTGTACTTGAATGAAGCTAAAATAAATTAAACATGATTGTTTAATTTAAAAAATTACTTAAAATATTTATAAATGAGTAAAAATTAACTTGGTGTTTACTTCACATCAGAACTACAGGCAAAAGATGAACCCAGATCACCCTCAGACTCCACCCAGGATGCTGACTTCCTCACTCTGTCATAGAGAGCAGATTACTCCACACCACAGTGGCCACACCACATGGTATTTTTGTGTAATTACCATGACTATTTATTTATTTATATTTGTGTGTGTATGTGTTTTCTTTATTTTTTGTATTTGTTTTTTAATCCGGCTTTTTATTTCTACATTTTAGTCTGCTTTATCTGTTTCGTAGCAATTTACTTGTCTATTTTTGTCTTGCTATTCTGAATTTTTTGGCCTATTCTACCTCCAGTGTTCCCTCACTGCAAACGTATAAAATTTATTACATTTATTTTTGATAACATTTCCTCAATTTTTCAGTCCCTGATTTTATTGAGTACTTCATATATGACAGAATGATTTATAA